GGGATGGAAATTACCTGCTCGAGTTTGCAAAGGGCCAATTTCGATTGGTATTGAAGAACTTCAAAACCGTAAAGACGCATGGCGTCCAGACTATTGACTTGCCTACTCGAACCAACAACGTGATAGCTGAGAGTCTCCAGGTTTTCCCTCGAAAGTACCTTTTGAGCCGCATGAGGACTCCCGACGCCCCAATGTCGAAGAACTATCTCACTAAGTTTTGCGGATCCATCTTTCCAGACGCCAATGTTGGCACATGCCTTCTTCGAAAGATTTGCGTCTCTTACGCAATGAAGGACGCCCCGAGTTTGGCCGAAAGGGACGCTCTTGCAAAGTCGATGTTGCATACTGCGGAAATGCAACAGCGGACTTACGAGAAGCACTATCTACCCGATGGGTCTCGGATGCAATTTTGATACGCTTGTGCATGCATATAGAAATGCGAGCAGGCTCGATGCATTTAGGATGCCGCACCAGTGAGAAACGTTGAAATGCTTTCAAAAGATCGACTTTCGTCCAAGTTTGCAATGTCCGTTGAACCAGTGGGGGTATCAATTGGAAATCCAGCATCTATCAGCTTGATTAGAGTACGTTTCTGAGGTCTCATGCCTTTCATATACCGTGTGTATGCCTTGCTCAACAAAATCGCATCACGATTCCTTGAGTAGTAGCGCCTTACCGATCCGAGGTGCTTTTCTGGATGCATCTTTTGATAAAGTCTCTGCCTTTTGCAAGTAGGGCACAAACAACCTCGCGTACCCGCTTCATAATTCTCGTTATCGCTCTCGCTTGCCATTTGTGAATTGATCACTACACTTCTCTTTGAAAATAATCTTGCTGAGCACGCGCCCGCGCGCGTTTGAAAGGCTTTCATTTTTTCAACACTAATCATATGGAAGCACAAGCGATGGCCGCGTCGATTCAAAGCACTCATGAAGCACCTGCCACTGAAGGTCCTAGCCAAGGAGCATTGCCCCCTGCCTCCAAGGCCCTAGGGCCCAGGGGGATTAGAAAGGAGATCATGCGCCTTCGCGATGGAGGTCTTTATGCGATCCCAGTGCGAGTAGATTGGAACTCAAAGACGAGTAAGAAGGAATCAAAGTTCCCATGTACGTGGGGCCAGATTATCGACCCAAAATCGTGGTATGAGTCCATCAACACGGCTCTCTTGCAGCGAGCTGATGCGAATGGTGTAGCAATATTGACGGGTCCGAGCGGCCTCTTCGCAATTGATGTTGACGTTGATGCCAACTTCAACCCAAAAAAGCTTCCTGGAATCGATCTCTGGAACCGCCTCATCAACATTCATGGCGAACCAGATACCCTAAGGGCCCGCACCGCGTCGGGGGGTCTCCATTATCTATTTAGGAGCAACAGTCCCGGCTTGTCCTCCCAGAAGAACTTTGCCACCGTGAAGGACGGCAAATACACCTATGGCATAGATGCTAGATGCTGGGGAGGGTGCATATTTGCAGAGCCAACATCCTATGTGAAAGAAGGGCAGGTTGTGGCCTACGAGTGGTTGAACGGTCCACCAAGCTATGAAGCATGCAAGGAGATCCCAGGATGGCTGATAGACCTCGTGAACAATCGCAGTAACGCCTTGTCGGCCGAGAATCCAAAGAACGATACCAAACTCTCCATGATATGTGCTCAGAGCGACAATTCCGATTCTATACCAAATAACGAGGCGCAAAGTTCATGCGGGGAGTCAACTTTCGACGGATTGTCGAGTGACAATTCACTGCTATTGGCCGAGTTGTGTAAGCTTTTGAAGGAGAAAGCCAACGATACGACCAGCACGTATGCCAACTCGCTGCCCCATGGCTTATACGGCACTTACTATTGCTATCGAACTAGAGGCCCTCGCAAGTGCTACTTGGGGCACCATCACACAGAAAGCAACAACTTTAACCTTCTAAAGCGAGGACGCAACGTGTATTATCGCTGCCATGGCCATGATTGCTCCCAAAAGCCCCCAAAGAAGCTGGGTGAGTTAAGCCTAAAAGCTGCCTTGTAAGATGCAACGGCTGCACCCGTGGATCCGCATGACGACATGCGAGTGATCACTCAGTACACGAAAGGAACTAGCGAGGCTCAAGATCTGCTGCTTCGCATTATCATTGAGCACGCTGGCTCACAGGCATATGTAAACCTTGGGCGGCTCTTTGCCCGCTTGTACATGATTGAGGGCAGGATCCTCGCCACTGTCAATTCTGCTGAGAAGAGCAAGGATCCGATATACTTCTGTTGGAATGGTTCGTCTTGGGCTCAAGATTCTTGCAACCTCGTTTCGAATGTGTTTACCTCGCAGATGGGCAATCTCCTGGATTGGTACGAGATGCAACGGAAGAGGCGGTTGGGCTCTCTCTATGGCAGACATCCGGACCTACAGGGGTTTGTAGTGGATGGCAAGCTGAAGCCGCTTGATTCTTCGATGGCCAACCCCAAGCTGATACGAACAATCAAGTTGGCCACGGAGTCGTGCATGAAGGAACTAGATGAATGCATGCCCAGCTTCGGCAGGGTCAACGTTCAGGATGCCGCGGACGTACGTAAGTGCTTGCACGGTGCACTCACCGAGCTGTACGTAAAGGATTTGTTGGACCATTTTGATCAAAATAAGACCGTGGCCAACGCTTCGAATGGTCTGATCGATCTTCGTACCGGAAAGCTCTTGGCTCACCATCCGCAAGACCTCTGCAATAATTGCACGAGCAAGTACGTTCGAGGGGCTTCGAGGCGGCCGACCGCCAAGTTTCGGGCCTTTCTACTGGATATTCTGCCACCGGAGACCATTGATTGGCTGCAGATGTTTTTCGGGTACTGTCTCACAGGAGAAACATCCGAGGAGCTGTTTGTGATCATGAACGGCCTTAGTGGGGCGAACGGAAAGGGGGTTCTCAAGAAGGCAATCGACAGGGCCTTCGGGAACTATGCTGGGATCGGAAATAAGGCCTTGTTTGTCAAGCCAACATTCAAAGTCAATGCGTCAGCAGCTTCGACAGCTTTGATGCACATTCGACCTTTGAGGTTTGCCTTTACTGATGAGTTGGAGAAGACGGACCATTTGAACGACCCCTTTATCAAGGAGAGCACGGATGGTGGGCATATTGAAGCGAGAGAGCTCTTTTGCAAGACGCAGAGCTATGTGTCGCAATACAAACTCTGCCTCTTCACCAATTATAGGCCCGGCTTTCCCTCTGATGACGCTGCTCTGATCCGCAGGATGGTCTTGATCACATTCGAATTCACATACAAGGACGCCCACGAGCTTGACATTGGCAATAGCAAACACAAGCTTATGGATACAACTCTCAAGCCGTACTTTGATTCGGATGAAGGGGCTGCCGACACCTTGGACTTTTGCGTCGAAGGTGCAACCATGTTTTATGCCAAAAAGAGGGAGGCGCCGACTTCAAAGGCACTCTCTTCAATCCCAGAGGTGTTTAGCGCTGCAGCACGCGAGTACATGAATGAGAACGACAAGCTTCAGATGTTCATTGATCAAGAATGTACGGTGGGGGCTAACTACAGCATTGCTAAGGACGATTTCGTTGACCGATTTGCAAACTTCTTGTACGCACGCGGTTACGACGCGAGCCTCGCAGGGGAGGGGCTGAATCGTGCCATGCGCATGAAGGGATTTAGCTCGACCCCATCGGACGGTCGCAAGAACCGGATGATTCAAAGGCTCAACAACCGCGGACGGATGAGTTGCTTCTTTGGTATTCGGTTGCTCACAGAGGACGAATTGAAGGCGGTTTCGACAGAAGTTGGGGCATCGGAAGCTTGATACAAAAGATACACTAATTGGGGCCTATTTTTGAGGCGTGTATCAGCACCTGTGTGGCAGCGACCTTGCGCTTGAAGGGGGCATTCGGGCTGGCAAATGGTTTCGACGAATGATCTTAAGGGTCCCGCGGCGCTCAAAAACTTTGCAATGGTGTGGGGGCGCCGAGAGACGGGCCATAGAGGGTTGATACAAAAGATACATTTCACAGTGAAGGGTCTCATTGGAATTTGAAAAAAGAAAGATAAGAAATGTATAGTATATAGTATGCCGGTTTTTTGTATCATTTGCATCCCCCCGAAACCGCGCCAATTGCAATTATTTGGCCATGCAACAAGCCCCCGCATTAGCAGGCAAAGCCACATTGCACGTTTTTGTGGACAGTTAAGCTGAAAATTATTTCTCACCACGCATGTGTCATGCACGTTGTGAATGTGATACATACCCAATATTTTGTATCAATTTTGTATCACCTTAGAAACGGTGTCTAAAGTGCACCAAATCTTTGATCTAGCCCAACAGCAGTCTGTGTCGCACCCCAACCGACCAGCAGCTCGCTGCTATTGCTATACAGAGCTTTCCGTCGTCAACGCGCTTCAGCCCAGCGTTGTAGGCATCGAGGAGAAGCGGGAGGATGACCATGAAGTTGTCCAGGCCGCTGTACCACCCCAAGGACCGAAAGCCCTTCAAGAAGCTGTTGACGGACTCCACCGCGCTCGTGTTCATCCAGCAAAGCGAGTCGTAGCTGTCCGCGGAGTTGCTCGGCCCACATTTGTGAACCTCCGCGCCCGCCTTTGCGTAGTGAAACCTGCAAGCCCACACAAAACGTGTACATGAACATCTGTTTCCTGGCGGGAAACACCATGCAACTCGAGACGCAGTGCTCACAACATCGAATACTCTTTTCAAGCTTGACCACAAATGTACACGGTCCTTCTTCATTCAAATTTAGGGTTTGAATTTCGAGCTCACCTATCCACCAGAAATCGTACATCCGCAAAATGCGCCGGGGCCCGCCTCATACAGTAGTTGCGCAGGGCACACGCGTTGTCAAAAACGAGCGTCTTTGGGAGATGCTCGCGCCTCAACCGCGTGTAAAGCACCGCAAATGGGTCCCGTGGACTCTCGCCTCGCAGCATCACGTGGAACCCATAGATCATACGATGGGGACAACAAAACACGAACACCCCTCTACTTCGATTGGGCCGCTTTGCACCGCCCCCCCTCTTCACCATTTTGCCTCCCCCCTTGACCAGGCCAGGCACGTTCTCAGCGTCCCATTCCGTGACGCTTCTCCCAGTTGCACACTTGAACTCCTCCGAGCTTCGACTACGACCATCCGAGTGCTCAAAGCTGCTGTATTGTGGCAGGCCTCGCTTTTGCTCCCACCCCGGAAAGCTATAGTGCGCCAGCGCGTCTTGCTCGGCTCTGAAGGCGTGTCCCTTTGGCAATGGATGCAACTCAACCCCCTCCTCGTCGCGCCCCAAACGGTCCCAGAGCAAGGCCCTCTGCCTCTCGCTCATCGAGCGCCATTGCTGTGGGCTTGGACTCAAGTTCTCGACGCCCGGAAGGAGCTCGTTTGCCAGAGCGCGCGCCTTTTCCAAACGCCCGCTCTCCTCTTGCGACAGAGGTCTCTCTCTCGCCTCACGCAGCAGCCAAACGGCCTCGTCAAACGGCCGGACCGCTTGGTAAACCCACCCAAACTCCCCTTCCACTTCGAACCCTGTCGTTCCTCTTGCGGCGAGCGTTAGAAGGTAAAGCTGATGGAGTGTCCCCATGAAGAAGGCGGGAAAGGTGAGCCCTCCATGTGCGTCCAGGATCCGCCTCAGGATTGGGGCCGCTCTCCCCATTTGCCGCCGGTCCTCGAGCAAAGCCTCGCCCCCAAGAAGCAACTTGTGGATCACGCCGAGAGCGGCCCCTCCGATCAGATCCTCGTCCGAGTCGTGGGCCCCCAACGAATAAAGCAACTCGGTCCACTCCCCAACCCAGCTCTCCCAGAGGTTGGGATTCATCCCTCTCGCCTCAAAGTCCGCTTGGATGCCCCTTAGGAGCTCGTAAACCGCAAGGTTGCGGTCCCTCACCATGGTTCGCTGCTCCGTCAGCAGACGCCTCTTGCCGTCCTCCGGTAGCGGACCCTCCGCCTCGCCCGGACCGATGCCTTTCACCACGCGAGGGTCCTCGTGCGCTAGGCCGTCCAAGAGGCTCAAGAAGCCCGCCTTTGAGAGCCTTGGTCCAAGCTTCTCGTCCTTTGGTCGGTGCTGTGAGAGACGCGCGACCGCCTCTCGAAGCTCAGGCTGAAGGAGAAGTTTTCGCTTCATTCCCCCTCCTTCCAGACCCGCCCCGCAATAGTCCCGACCGGAGATGGACCGCTTCTCAAGCAGCTCCCCGTTTGCAAACCGACTCGGATGCACCATTGTCCGCCGAGCATCTAGAGTTGTGCTGCCGAGGCCCCCCGGCTTCTTTCCCCCATCCGAGTTGGCAAGCCCCACGATCCCGTCGCAGAGGAGGACCTGTTTATGAACACAGAGGGTTTTGTAGATTATCAAAAGATGTACACGTTTCCTTTGAACATATGTCCAATCAAAACGTGTACATAAAGATGTCAATCACCTACATGAAGATGCATGGCTTCAAACCGATCGATGGGCCGCAGAACCTTGTTGTAGATTATCAAAAGATGTACACCTTTTGCTTTGAATAATGTTCCATCAGAACGTGTACATGGAATATCAATCATGTCAATTGCCATTTTGAGAGTACAATGCCTTCAACATGTTGGTTGCCAGTGGGCAGTCATACCAAAACAACGAACATTGTCCTCCTCAAATGTTTGTCACAATCTGAATTCAACTAAAAGACCAACTTCGATTTTGCTCACCTTGGGATGAGGCCCGCACAACGTGCAACAGTCACGGATGCCGAGGCCAACGAGCTTGAAGAAGTCAAGGCTGGCCTTTCGCCACGTCTCCTCGTTCAGGACCTCGGCCCCCAGCGAGCGCTCAAAGGCAGCTTGGTTTGTGGCCAGCTCTGCCTTGAAGGAATGCCCCTTTTGCATGCCTCGCAGGATCAGTTGGAGGCTCTCCTGAACGAAGAGCGTTCGCCGGTTCCAGGTGTAGAGACCGAGGT